GGAAAACGAACACCTCCTTACAACCGGTATTTGCTAAGGAGTAAAAATTCTCTCTCCTAGAGAGCAAGACACTGAGTAATGTAGGTCTTGGCAAAGTACCAGCTAAAGTGTTTTCGCGTTAGACAATACGTTTGACTCGGGATTCTCGTGCATGGGTGAGTCAAGTGAAAAATAATGAACCTAATCATTCACTTACGAACAGCAGCATATTCCAGAGAGAAAACGGGACGTCTACGGTCAAAGAAAGACTAGCAGTAGAGCACGTAGCTTTATACAGGCAATGCGTGGGCCTGCTGCAGCTGCAACTGTCATCTGGCGGGACCTTCGGGTTCCCCAATCAACCGTAAGACTCCAGTCCAGTGACCCTAGCTATCTAGGGATCATGGTACCCTCCCAAGGGTTGCTTCCATCAAGTGCAGGTAGAACACCTAACGATGAAGGGTTAAGTTTTAGTAAATTCCTTCGTGGGTCTCTAATTCCCGATCCCGGGGAGCCCTGCACGGTTGTTGGTTTGGATCTCCCCGCCTTAACACATTCACTGCCAATCACGGCGTGTACTGCTTTCACGCATCCCATCGCTTAGCCTATACCCGAAAAAGTCATTGCCTTGTAGGCTACGTGTGTTAGGCTATAAGCAGAGGCTTAGGCTTGAATGGTAGAAACGTACATGGCGGTGAATGTGTTAAGGTCTATGCCAATTCGGATCTTCATCTCTTTTTTTTTTTACTGTCATTTTTGTTGAGAACATCCGGGTATCTGATGGCAAACAGAACAGTCAACTAATCAAAAAGCATAACATGGATATGAGTGAGGAACAGAGAAAAATGAAAGCAAGACAAAGAGGACAAGGAAAGTGGTGTGGAGCTCAGGGGGTGGCCAGCAGATATGAAGGAGAGGAGTCACCTCCGAGAGATTGCTGTAACATCTATAGCAGACGATGTTCTGTCTGGTACTTTCACGAGCTGACGTCGGAAGGGTCATAGAGTGCATTCCAGTGTTGCAGTCTGAATGTCACTCCTTTTGAATAGGCCTTGTATATGGGGTTGTAGGGTTGTATGCACATCCCAAGGATAGGGTCAAGCATCCCTGCTTTATAGTCTTCGTCGAAAAGAAAAGCCCCGTTGGCGGGGCAGTCGTCTTCCGTTTCGCTTCTGGGTAGCTGGTCCGCTGACCCCTTTTCCGGG